TGTCACTACCTATCCTCTCTCCTTCTGATATCCTTATGAAAGTTTTCCATTTTAAAACATTACTTGGACTTGGGGCAGAAGTCATACGTTTCCCACTATATTCTCTTCTGCCATTTTGCTACCATTTTTGATGGTGTCATCTCCTCCACCAGGCTAGTCATCTAGAGCACTTCTGACAGTCTGAATCTCATATTCATTGTTAGAATTGTCTATAAAAAAAATCCTATTTCAAAGAAAATTATTATTATTGTTGGATTTGAACTGTGAATGGAGACAATGTAAATGAGATCCAAGAATAACTGCTGGAGAATGTTGTTGGCTTCTAATCAGAGCTAGATAATCTCATGTGCAATTCCACCTTGACTATTGAAAGTATCTGTTATGTCGTTAGTACGCTTGTCATAACAATACAAGATCAAAATATTCATATCTAGAACTTCTTCTTTATGTATTGGTCATCACAAAAACTCAGGCTATTTTTGGCGGCATCATCATCAAGAATGAACCACTTTTTCAGTCCAGTTACATATGAACTGGCAAAGGGCAAAATGCTTTTTGCTAACAGCATCTTTAGAGTGGGCAGCCATCTTTAAAGAATTCCATTCACCAAATGATGCAGGAAGAAGGGAAGAATGCCCTTCTTTCTCCTTCCCTTTCAGCCCAATTTGGGGTTGTAGTCCTGTACTTCTCATTTGCTACTCCTTCTGATCAGCTCTATACTGATAACTTCCCATTGGTGTTTCTAAAATTTCTCAGTTCATTACCCAACCCACCTGACCCTTAGAAGATTAAGAGCTCATTAAACAGTAGAAAGTTCCTATGAGATTTTGTTCAGTCAGAGAACTAAGCCTCATCTAGAGAGGGAGCACACCGTGACTTTTGAGTTTTACGGCCAAGACCCAAAATCCCTGAGGTTCTGTCCCGTTGGCAGTACATGGCAGAGCTGTTTCAGAGACAAAGTCCAGTGGAAATAGAGAACTCAAATGCAAAGTCATCTGCACAACCAGAGCTACGAAAAAAACCAGTTGATCCTGAAGGGTTGTAGCATTTCCAAGCTTAGGCAGTCTGCAACACAGGGTGGAGATCAATTAAGAAGTCCAGACACCAACATATTAGATGACTCTGCAAGTGGAATTCTTTGAGAAATGGGTTTGTTGGAACCTTGAGAAAACTAATACATTTCTGCAAAGCATTTATGTTGCAATGAACTGGAATTTGCTAACAGGAAGAGCAAGTGGCTATTTTAGCAACTTCATATCCCCAGTGCATCATACTTATTTTACCACTATAGCAAATTTCAGTTTCTTGCCATCCTATCGCCTATTACAGCTAGACATCAATGATTTCGTTTTCAATGGTTTCTGTTTTGGTTTGGGTTTTTGTTTGTTTGTTTGTTTTTTTAAGAAGAAAGAAAAAGAAAAGCAACCTAGTAAGTATTAATTCTGGGAAAGGGGATAGCCAGAGCTCATTAACATTTAACATACATATTGTTTGTTATTTCACTCATCTGAATCCACATCACAGCAGTATCATTGCTGCTAGCAGAAAGTAAACTTCAAGTAAGATTTGTGTTACCGTTTATAATTAAACACTGCAACTGCATAGTTGTTTATCAGATATCTTTCCTTCTCTCATCTCGAAAATGATAACAACCCAAACTAATTTGATTTTTCCATATTTGCAAATTTTATAATAGACTGAAATCCTGAGGGATTCCACAGCAGATGGATGACTGTGTTATTCTAATTACAACTACCGATGGGTTTAGAAAGCTGTCATTTTTTAAGACAATCAATTTCTCATTTCAAGAGACATGATAAACACTGAATATCTATGCATTGTACTGAATCCACTTTCATGAAAATTGTGGCTTCTCTTCATTAAAATGAAACAACTATTAGAAACTGGTTTTTCAGTTCCTCAGACCCAAATTTATTCAAGAGAATGGTGGACACACACAATTGCCAAGTGCATGTTTGGCTTACTTAGATGTGCAGCTGGAAGGATGCATCTGGAATATAGTTTACCTTCTAACAACTCATTAGCTTTACCTAATTCAGAAAAATGTCTCTACTGTAACAGCAGTTTTAGGATTTAGCTTAGACAGTGCTTACACATACATATATGGAAGAGATACTGTGAAATACCATGGCATTCAATAATTAATTGCTCTCCTTGGAGAAATTCCAACCCTTCATACACATCAGCAGAAAACCCAGGAAATGTATACAAATCTGATTCAATCAGTGAGAAACCTAATTTTAAGCAAGTAAGGTCTAAAGATTTGAGCATGTTTTGTTTGTCCCTTCTGTACAAACATAGGAAGCATAATACAGACTTGGGTTCTCAAAGCGCATTCCCTGTCTTCATAGGAATGCCATGCTGTATTGTTTTGTGATGTAAAAAAGAACCTGAAATGAGTGTTAATTTAGCTATACAACTGATTCTTACAATCAAGCCCTTTTACTGTTCCACAGAGGAGTATGATCATATATTCAATTTTAGAGCCAGATCTTTGTTTCACTTTCCTGTCAATCAGCATGAATTTATTGGTCTAAACTAGTTTCCCTGGACAACACTCATTGCTACACCTGTCTGAAAAAGGTGCTATGAAATTTTAGTAACTATTTTCCTATAAAACTTAAGAAACCCTTGATGAAACATGCTGTTTGCCTGAGCAACACTCTTTACTGGACTGGAGAACTTCACAAAAAGCGTCTGTGATCACAGTGTTGCTGGCAAGGAAAGAAAGCACTTAAGACAACACCAGCCCTTTGCCTACATTTCACCTAAGTTTCTTACCACCAGACTACTGACTATCCTTAAGAAGGCTTCTCACTCTCCCATTTCCAAGCTTGTCTTCATTAAAGCATATGGAATATCAAAAGCATTTGTAAATGAAAATTGCTTATCAGCCAACCCTTCAATTTTGGAACTTTTATTTGAGAATTGAACAGGCAAATTTATCCAGAATTAATGTCCAATAGTGCCTGTATAAGACCGAATGAAAAAAATATTCAGAAAATACAAAAAGGAGTATAATGCAGACTGGGTTATTTTATCATGGAAAGAAAAATCTGTCAAGGTCAAAAAAAATCAAGAACTGAGGCTTTTATTATGTTATCTTTGTTTTGTTTGTGTACCTATTCTTTGGGATTTTCCATTCTAAAAAATTAATGTATACAATTGTCACAGGATTTTCAAACCTGGTGTTTCTTCAGAGTTGGCATTACATTTTAGATAAATAATGTAGTGTTGTTGCCACCTCCACCTAACCAATGGTTCATGGTGAAATCGCACATCAGTGAAGTGGAAGATCCAAGTTCAACCTTCCTGAACATGTTTTAAATCCTAGCTTTGACCAAAAGGTTGAGAAGAGTGGATTGAAACTAAGGTACTCGACATCTGAGCGAACAGAGTATGGACTACTGCTTCCCTTTGTTAGAGTTCTTCCACACTGGATGGAAGCACTTAGCTGTTATGATTAAGAAAAAGCAGGATGCTGTCTTTGCTGGGCAAGGCATCCACTTGGAGGTTGCACAGTTAGACTTCTGTTCCTCCTCTAGTTAGTTTTTGCCTTATTCAAACCAAGCAGGTTTTCCTGTTTAGAAAAACAGGAAACACTAAGATAACCTTGAACAGTTAGGTCTGCGGGCTATACTGTTCTCCAAAGAAATGCAACATAGGCATTCCCCAAGACAGAACAAAAAATACACCCAGGCCTTCTGTATCACTGGAGAATACGTGATACTTTGAACTGTGACTTAAAAAGAGAGATGTAAAGAGGGGCAGTCTAGGTTTCAAAATAAATAATTTACATCATGAAGATATTACGTGGGCTTTTAAAGGAACCATCAAAATCATCATTTGAATTGGGAAGTGTCAGAAATATGTAAATAGCAAGTATTATGAGTCCATGAAAAGATTTTTGTTGCTCATTATGCCTCCAGAGAAGTTGAAAAGTAAATTACAAACTAATGCAGGACAACAAAAAAAACTCTTTAAGGATCTTTTAAGGAAAAATAAAATAGTGACAGAAAGAACTGTCACTTCAGCAACTCTCTTCATTATGCAAAGAGAGAGATTCTCAAATAAAATTAGAGTATTCTGTTAGCAAGCTTTCAGAAGGTAAAGGCCACTACTTAAAAGAAAGAGATCCGCTAAATTACTAAAGGGGTTTTATACTTTGAAACTTCAAAGGCAAGTCTGCGAAGTCTCCAAGGACACTATATTTGCATCCTATGGATGTGAGAATAAAATATCAGTATAAATAACAAACTCTCCCCAAAGCAGGCTTGGTTCTCCAGAGTTAGTGGCAGAATAAGTACTCTAAATGACTGAACTACAACCTCAGAGGAAAGTCCTGGACAGACAGTAAAGAAGGAAAGTGCATTTTCTGGCAGGTATTAACAATGCTTCTAAATCTTCTGATTTTGTATGTGCTTCAAAATATTAAAATGTATTACTTTACACGCAGAATAAATTAACTTTATCATTCATCCTTTATTCTTGGCTCTAAGCACAACATCTGTACAAAACTAACACTCAGATTACTCTGCCAACAACAGCAGTTCTTTAATACATATCCTTTAATGCAATATAAATTGCATACCTTTGGGTTGATTATATATTATGGGGCTTTCAAAGAGTGAGGCAGATTGCTTACACCATCTTAAATGTTTATGCCACCAGGTTTGCAAGTCGTTCTGTAATAAGTGTCAACAAATACTTTGAATCATACCCTCACCTGATCTGCATCTCCATCTTTCCATTACATATACAGAAATATGAAAGCCCATCACTAATAATTATATCTGTACTGTTTACTCAAGCACATCATCTTTTGCTCCAAAGTGAGGTACTTCCCACCAGCTGAGTAATGAATTTCTGAATTGTTAAATAACATATTAAACAACACCCAAAACACTACAGATACATTTAAAAGGAAAGCAATTTAAATATGAAGAGGCTGCACGGCAATAAGTTATTAGGAAACTGACCTTCATAGTTTCCTGTGCTGAAATAACAATCTGATCGGCTTTCAGAAAGATGTGACACGAACTTTTCAATTAATTCTGCCAAAACTGCAAGAAGTTAAAACATTAAAACATTAGAGGCAATGAACAAAATGTGGAACTACATTACCTAACAAAATGACAATATGTGAGAAACTAAAGCTATTTGAATTCCTGCATGTTTATTCATGTTTTTATGGGGGAACAATTCAAAGCATGCATTGAGTTTTTGCATTCCTAACACCGTTCCAAATTAAATTAAATTTTAATGGCTTTACTGAGAATATATTCAGTGTAAACGGAAAGAGAATCCCATTTATATCCTCTAAGGATTACTTCAGAATTTGTTACACAGTTTCAATATGAAATGAAAATTAACTATAATTAAACTACAGTATCTTACCATATTTGTCTGTGTATGTAGACAGGAAAGAAAAAAAACCAAAACAACCCCCACACAACAAAAACCCCACACCACCCCAAAATGATGCTAACAAAAGTAAATGAAGTTTTAAGGGCTGTTTTAAAACACGATATAAAACCACCTATGCCATCACAAGATAAAAATTATTCACTTAAAATTAAGCAATAGGAGCATCTCCTTTGGAAGATTCTGTATTTTATGACTAGGAGCATTTCCTTTGGGAAAGTCCATATTCTGTGATGACCATAATGTTCTTATTCAGTTCTTGCCATGGAACTTTGAGTCTGCAGATATTGCATTAAGTCAGTCAAATGTTGACATCTGGTCACTAGGTAGGAAATCATATCTCCCACCTTAACAGCATGTGAGCCAGGAAGTTAGTGAGAACTCTCAGTGACAAATCATTAGCAAAAACTGTTGCTGATTCCTCAATTCTGCAAGTTTGAGACTACTGCAACTGAGCACGCTACCACCTTACAGATTTAAACAAAGGATACAAGGAAGCCTTTACACATACTGCATGGAGGAAGCCCATATTGAGATGGGCCACATTAAGAATTTAAGAGAGCAACAACAAACATGTTTTGTACGTAAATACTATCCCAAAACAGCTGCTGTTGGAATGATAAATAGAATTTATAGAATAGTGATATAACATTCTTTTCACAGCAATGCATAGCAAGGAAGTGTATGTGGAGAGTAACGAGTGCTGCTCCCCGTGGGATTTCCTGTTTTCAGCCGGCACGTTACCATTTCCTTGGCAGCAGCTCAATTTAATTGCACTGAAGCTTCAGCCCCTAGTCACCCACTCCTGCACATTTACTCCATGCACCTACATGTGGTTTTGCTGGTTTTACACCGACTAATTCCACTTAACCATTTTAGTGGATAGCTGTAGGAGCAGCTGTATCAGCAGAAAGCGTAACAATCTGTGGTGGAGGTGGCAATAGGGAAAGCTAGAGAACTCTTGAACTAGCCTTACTGACAGAAAAACTAACACAGGAGATTGCAGTGCAAGCTCTTTTGTGCATGAGGAGGAAGAGGAAGATGATAGAACCTCCACTCACAGTCTGATGCTTCTTATGCCAGAAAAAAAATGAAGAAAAAGATATCATAAAGACAAGTAACTCTTCTTCCAACCATTTTAAGCTAACATACTGGTATTAAATCATGATTTTTTTTTTTCTCGATTAGTTGTCTAAAACATTTACAGAAATTAATTTACACTGAGTGAGTCCAGAAAAAGTTTTTAAAAGGTTGAGTTCTGGTAATACTATGTTGATGGGTAGGGCAAAGGAGAAAAGAAGTTTCACTGCAACAGCTAAACACAGATTTACAGTTAGAGGAGCCAACTCCAACAGTAAGAAAATTAATTTTGCATTGCAAAGGACTACTAAATCCAAACAAAAAAAATTACATATGTAATTTATATTCTTATGCATTTTTATGGAGACAAGAAACTGCTATTTAAATATAATATAGCTATTTTTAATCATGGTTAATAAACCACATGGGGCTAGCAAAAAGCAATTTATTTTATAGAAGAGTAACAGTTTATTCGTTTTGTGAGAATAAACAGAATAAACAACCTCACTAATCTTCACTAATATGCTTAGTGGAATTTGGTCCACAAAGAATATAACAAATATTTGTGTAAAATGAGAAAAGGTGTCTATACCTGGAGCTGTAGATTGCAAAAAGCAGAAATTAAACTTAAAATTTGTAACTAGCTAGATGTTTACTGTATGACTATTAGTATTGTGATTACTGAAATATGCCATACTATAATAACAAACAGGAACTATGTTAAAAAGACTAAAATACCACATAGTTCAGAAAAATTAAAACCAAGTCAGAACATTGTACATTTCTTCCCTTTTTGTTGGAAGGCATCCACACGCTTGACCTAGCAGTCGAGTATTTCAGTTCCGTGCTTGAGTTAATGGGAGAAGTGACAGCTCAACTGCTAAGCAATTTTTTGAAACTCAAGCACTAAACTGATTTTCACCATTTGAAAATACTTATCTAAGTGCCTATCAGGGTCTTTGAAAAGCGTTTAATCAACTTTGAGACAGGAAGACACACATAAGAATTTATCAAAACAAATGTGGTTAACACATAAATAGAGGGTTTTCACAGGACATTGTCTCTTCCAAAAGAAAGTCCATGTGAAATGACAAGTAGTTATTTTAATTTTTGTCTTTTAATACTAAACCATTTAGCTGCCATTTGAACACTCCCTGAAAATCTTTATAAAGGTGGAAATTGGCTCAGTGATTTTCATTTAACGGGAAAAGTAGACAAAAGAAATTTAGGAAAGTTCATTGCATAGTACAGTCAGTACTGTAAAAGCCCACATTCTCATGCAGAGGTTATATTCAGAGATAGAGATTAGGGCTGTGGCCTACCAACTCAGTGAAAATGTTGATTTTCTTAAATTATGGTAGCTTGGCTGTATTAACATTGAAGTTTTTGAGAGACTGGCAATTACCTCATGCAAATTTAATCCACAAAATTTTAATTTAGGAGCGTGTAATCATATACAAAATAAATGAGAGAGTTTTAAAATTCCCTAAATGATTGCAGTATGCTCATAAAACACCTGAATTCCTGCAGGATGGGTTTTTTTCCTTGAGGAACTAATGTACAAAAGGAAGGTAATCAAAATGGCCTCTAAACTGCATAAGAACACTGATTTAAAAAATTCATGTGATTAAAACTGTTTTAGTATGTAACCACCATGAGAGGTTATCTAATTCCTACTCTTAAAGGTTTAAGCCAAAAAGGTCAAAAACTGCAAAAAGCATAAAATTTTTTTAGATCCTCTAATGTAACTAGTGTTACTGTATCATATTCTATACCAGTGCACAGATGCTTCAGAGGGGTTTAAAAGAAAAAAACCTTAATCTTAAGAGTTAACAGTAGTCTTGCTTGACTTGTGCTAGAGGTTAAAAATTCAAGAGTGAAAACCTTGGTCAGCTGACTTCTTTGTAAGAATGGTGTCAGAAAATTTCAACTCCATCAACAATACTTCAGTTTAATAAATCTACAAAAAACACAGCTGGCAATTACACTCTTAATGGCAACAATAAGGAGGACTTTTTTGAATTCCTAAGGTGATGGGAGAGACTTTAAATTATTGTACATTGAAATGGCAAAGGAACAACCTGCATTTTCTTTGAAAAGAAGAAAACAAGATCATAAAAATTCTGACAGTGCTTCCATTAGAGATGAAGGTTGCATATCTTATATACAAGTATCTTCCCTATTAATGGAAAAACCAGCCTTTCAAATCTTATTCAAATGTTGTAATCTTCACATACATACATACACGTTCACGTGCGCTTACACCGCTTATGGGATATTTCTTTGGAAATTGCTCCAAACTGGTTTGGGAGACAGAAGAAAGAAGTTTTTATTTGCAATTGTTCTTGCTGCGTAACATAAAAGACCCACTGTTCCACTCTAATTCTGAAACAAGCCTCCTTGAAAAATCAAGTAAGGACATAAAAAGGTAAACATCTTTTTTGTATTATTCTAAAAACCTCTTTTGTGAACGCAGTATTTTTAAATTGTTCATACTGAAAAATGAGAGCAGACCACAGGCAGAATCTGAATGACTCCATGGAGGAAGTAATTTCAGCTGAGTTTATTAACCCTATCCATACCCACATACAGACATAAAGCTTGAGGAGCATGATTAGGATTTGGGGACTCAATATCTCTTGTTATGAAGGGAAGAATGTTAGCATATAGTTAATTATATGATCCCTGCAACACCCTTAATTTCTCTTACTTGGGGTTTAAAGTCTCCTAAGAGAAGAGAGGATTATGGATGTTGAATCTGCCAAGACAGGAAAGCGGTCAGCTGCTCACACAACACTAACTGGGAACAGAAAAAAAACGAGTTGCTGGGGTTGAAAACAAAAGAAATGCCTTCCGCCATGCCTGAATGACGAGAAGGGAGAGACAACTGAAAAAGGCATGGATGAAATAATCAAGCCGAGATACTGATTCAAAAAAAATACCTCCCAGTCACATGAACAATTTGAACATACAATATACTAAGCCTAGATACACACAGACTAATAATTTTCTACATAAATCTAAGCTATTGCTCAGACGAGTTGATTTGCCCATTTCTATTCCTGCCAAAGCTTAAATGCCAATACACAGAAAGCTCTTATCTAGATGTACTAAAGATGCTTCAGGGAGGCCACAAGTATTGCAAAGAGTGGTCCAAAAAAGGCCAAGACTTAACCTGACCGAGGGCTCTATTCCACAGTTCTCTAGCTGATCTAAGTGACCCAAAGACATAGGCAAAGCCACTCAACACCAAGCAGCTATATCCGTAGCATCCACAAACCTGTGGCACCTTAACAGAAGGAATGACTGGAAGAATACCTTTGTCTTAGCTTATTGTGCTTAAAACCATAGAATGTAGAAGCTGATTGTCTACCATACGATTTGCTTTTAGATGACCAAGGAAAATCCCACACTTTCAGTCCTGCCACACTAAAAGACATACAAACCTAAGGAAGGTTTGTATCCCCTCTTAGCAGTTCAATAAGGCTATTCAAAACTGTATCTTGACGTTTGACCACAGAAATTACTTAAAAGCTACAGTCCGAGGTGATGCTTTAGCAGAGAAAACACCAATCTAGGGATGAAGATGGACATTCCCAAAAGTAATGCGATACCATAGCATTTTGCACAAAAACACTGATCAAGTCAATGTGATGGTAATCAACACCAGAAGAGTGAGTTAGAGATATTGATACTGTATGGTTTGCTCAAGAATTTTCTGATGGAGTTCAGGCAGGTTCTATAGATTCAGCATCTGGTAATCCTGACACCAGATCAGAAAATATTTTAAAAATCAATACATGTTGCACTATACAGTCATTGAATCTAACATCATCTTTGCTGATTATGTTCTGGCTCAACTGCTGTTAATGTTAGTCTTCTTTAGAAATGGTGCAGTACATGAAACGTAAGTATGCATCTTTGTCCTGTAATCCTTGGAGTTTGTTCCATCTGTAACTAAAGAGAAAGTTTTGATTTCTTGGAATCTGGATGGAAGCCTCTCAGTCCTCTGAAATTTGGGAGAGCTTCACATGCTGCAAAAGATACAGAGCAGCACAGCTGTGTGTCATAAAATAGTTTCAATGATGTTGTCTCAAACCACACAGCTAGCAGATATTTTGCTGCTTCTGAAATATCTCCAAGCAGATATGCAACATTTGAACAGCTTCGCATCCACCTTAAATTACCAGTACTTAGACTGAATTTATAATATTACTACCCTTTTGTAGGGTGTTTTTATTTATTTATTTTAGTGTGTCATTATGCTATTCTGTTTCTGTTTTCATACTCTACTTTTTTGTGTGGTTTGTGAAAGCACTTGCAGAAGTCCCTGTGAGGCTTAACAACAATTCCACAGATACTTTCCTGCTGACTTTTACTCCCGATTCCATCTCAGCTGGAAACGGTTATCCAGAAGCAAGCATAATGTTTTTGCTTTGGGTTAACAAATCTTAATGACTCTCTTTAATCCTCATTTTAGCTTGTGGTACCTCCAACAAAGTTACAGAAAAACAACCTACACAGGTTTTGAGGCTGTGTATGGATACTACAAAGCACAAAAGGAAAGACTTCTTTTTCTTTGTAAGCCATCTACTTTAAACGTATGTTCCGTTTTTCTGTAAAAATATGTTTTTTCAACAAATAATTCCTTTTAGATGCAGGAAGACAGACTAACAATTTTCAACAAAATTTTCATATAATCCAAGAAGAGAATAGTCTAGAAAATATGCTGCATTCAAATAAAACTGATTTTACAAAGACTAAATTTTTTGTGCTTCACAATATATAACACCAAAATAACCCCTCACTGAACTACTAGATCAGAGTCATGCAAGAAAAGTAAACATACAAGTTTTCCAGAAAAATCTAGGGTTTTTTAATTGCTACGCCTCAATTTATTTTTCTTACACCAGCAGAAGCTCATATAAAATACATTCAGTTGTTTCTGAATGGTTATGAATCTCTATTTGTTCACCTGTTTCACAGAGATGTCTGAATACATGTATTTGTGGACATGTATGATATAACGTATATTATAAGTACATATATGCATTATATACAAAAATATATGTATTCTGTCTACACACACATTCTTCCAAACGGAAGGTGAAAGTTCTGACTAGTTTACCATCACCTAAGACTATAGACTCAAGCTTGTTTCAAACAAGCAATAAGAACAAAAAGCTCAGAATTTAGAAACATTCAATAAGTACTGATTTTACCCACATTATACAAATGACAAATTTCTTATTAACTATTTTAATACTAAATCAGTTCCTGTATAAATGACTTCCTTAAGGCTTCTGAAACCACCCTATAACCTTTATATTGCTATATAATTTATCATAAAATTCAGGTCTCTGTAAAACACAAATGCTGGGTTACTTTGATCTCATATAGAAGATACTTCACCTGTCTTCACTATCAGTTGTATTAATAGTTTACCTGAAGAATTTAAAGGGAAGCCTTTGGCATCTGTAAACAAAAAGTTCGACTACGTACTGACCATCTGACCATAATCAGAATTCTTACAGAAATGGAAGCCAGTAATTTCTGAAAACACCTAGCTTCTTTATTGCTACACAAGTTTATATGATATTACAAATTAATTATTGCATCTGATTTCTTATGATTTATGTCATATGAGTGATCAATGTTTTTGTTTTGGCTGTTGTTTTAACTGATCTATACCAATGCTCCTGCATGAGTGCACTCTTAAGTAGAAAATACATAAGAAAATGAAGATAAGCCTGAATGAGTGGGTTCTTTGATGTTTAGTATGGCTTAATTCTGAAAATGTTTACTGAAATTGGCCATTAATGTTATTTCCCAACCCGTCTTAAAGTCATTCACTGATCTCTGGGAAATGTCTGTTTTCTCTCAGGCTCTCTTTTCCATTTTCTCAGCATCTCAGTAATGGTCCCTTTAGAGATCTGAAACAAAGACTTATATTTGAGCCCTCTTTCTGTGTCAGATTTCACTGGAAACAGCCAACAGAGAGGGATGATGGCCATAAAGAGAGAAAAATAGGATGTGAGGCACAAACCTTGTTTTCTCAGGAAAATCCCATTGGAATAGTTTTTGCAATCAACACAAAATTATTGACTACTTGTATAGATAATGTAATCCTCAATGAAACTTTAAAGAACGGTTGCTTACTAGTGGCCTTCTGTTTGCTTGCTTTGTTAAACTCAGTAAGTCATACTCACTTGTTCCGCTGATGATATCTGGTCTCGCTTTCATGACTTTGCAGAACTGTTTTCTACAAATTTCTGTCCACCTGGTTTGCTTCTCTGGATTTTTAAAGAGTGATAAGAGCTTGTCAAGATCTTTATCTAGAAGAAATTAAAAATGAGTGTTATTCTGTAATGATAATCTTGGCTCTTTTTTTTTTTCTTTCTTTCTTTTCAACTTACTATGTAAGTAATAAGAAGCTATTAGCTACAGAGTACCACAGAAACAAGTAGATGCATTCAGAAACTAGAAACCATTTTAATGAAGAACAGTAAAGTCAGATGCAGCTGAGAGCTCTCTTGTTTTCTCGTATTTTTGGCAGACCTCATACCTTAGGAAGAAAAGACTAAAAAAATACCCCTTATCCTATGACAATTAAACTGGAGAAGCAGTCCTAAGGCTGATGACATTCTACTTTACACAGAACAGAAACATTCATTCTACTTACTGCTGGGTTTTGAATATTTAAGATATTACTGAGGCACATTTTGTAACTGCCCTAAAGTTATTACTCCTCTCCTGAAATGGTAAGAATTGGAAAGACATTTTAAAGAATTACTACTACTTAAAGAAAGTAGTTTGGTATTTTCATGAAATTTCACCACTCTGAGAATCTAAAATAGAAGACAGGCAAAGATCCTCCACCAAAGATCATTGGTTTAATAATAAAACCGTGAGGTGGCAACACTATTGTAGAACATGAAATGAAACATGCAACATAACAGTGTTCCATAGAAAAATTCTGTTTCTTTCTATAAGCAGGTTTCCTTCAGATGCTTCCAATATGGACAGATTTTATGGCATATATGTGTATGCCTTCAGGTTGCTAAGCATACCTATCGAGTAAAATTTGCAAAAATACATTGGGCTGCCCATGCTATGAGAATTCTTATAATAGCTTTGCTGATAATCGCCAGCATTTCCCAACTTTAGCACAAGGACTTAAAATTGGGACAAAATGTTACACCAAAGGTATGCTTTTGCTGTTGCTGAAATGTCACCTTGTAAGTTTTGTGTTAATATTTAGAGAAACTCAGAATTTTAAATTGAGTTTTCTGAAGAATTGAGGTGCACACAACATGCTCCAGTCCAGGGCCACAGGTTCTTTGTTAGTACTGTCAGAGGCTGCAACAATGTTAATTCAGGCATTTTCTAACTTCAGAATGCTTGACTTTTTATCTAAGCACTATTAAAACACAGTCTTTTGGTACAATTGCTATATATAAGGCACAAATATATCAGATAATGTTTCACATTATATGTTCAGCTTCCTTATAAAACAAATTTGTGGAACAGTTTACAAAAAGATCTTTATGAAAGATTCCTTTTAAATGCAAAGAAAGGATTTCAAAGATTGCTCCTTACCGCTACTCTTACCTTGTTATTAAAGAGACATTCTCTCTTTATAATAGGGAGACATGCCTTCAAAATTAAAATTGCCGTTGATGCAACGACAAAAGGACAGTAAGTATGTTCTCTCTCTTGGCTAAGAGTGAGGGGTTTTTTTTCTCTCTATTTTCTACTAAGGTAGAGGAAATTACACATACTCTACCAATTTTCTAGAATAAAATATCACAGGCTGAGGCAGTAAATTTCACAACTAGCTGAGTCTCACAGAGGTTTGAAAACAGAGGAACCATAGCGACAAATGTAGAACCACCATGTGTAATCATAAATGAAAATGTTAAGCTGGCTTTCAACAATCAAAATGTCTATCTTGGAATTCACGCTGAACAATGAATACTAGCAAGCTACCATGACACATGATGACACAGCACACTGAATAATATATACAAGGTAGTGGTAAAAATAATGCATACAGATGCTTTGGCAAATCAAAGAGAAATAATTTCTTCCCATATGCAACACTTGTTAAAAAATGCTAATATATTGGGAGGGGCTGACTATTCAAATTCTATCTGAAGGCAGAACAAATTTCAAGTTCAAATGCCAAGTCATTTTATAAAGCAATTTTGTGTAAGATAAAACTGATCAAATTCAGTTTTCTAACAGAAAATACTGACCTCTACAAAATGGAAACAATCAGTTAGACTGCCTCTCCTCAGGCAATGTGCTTCCCAGAGTACTTGATCCTGCTATGAAATATTTTCTGGTCAACTCGAGGGGAACAATAAAAGGTGGTATCTCTAATAAGGTAAATGCACATGCACTCCAGCTGTGCGCAATCCCTGTGCTGTGGGACCATGCAGTTCCCATCATTACAAAAGGATTGTAGCCTACACTAATACTAACTATTCACTAAGGTGATAGAGGTTCTTCATACCTTGCAAGCCCTCCTTTGTTCTCTTTCTACATTTTGGACACTATAGAAATGAATTCTGTCACGAAAGGTGACTTCTGATTAAGGATTCAACAATTGTTTGAGCAGCCTATGGCTATTTAGAATATTTGCTGTTACATTTACTTCTTTATAGTATTTCACTTTTCCAATAAAACTTGTTTCCACAAACAAAATACTATTTTAAAATTCTCTTATTCCTTTTGAGATTATTAGAATATTTTCAACAGAATTACAATATTGCATATAATTTATTCCAACCTGATCTAAAGACCTTAATGTTTTATAATCAGTAAATTCTCTCCCTGTCATCGGAATTTATTATACAATACATAGTATTTCAAAAGAAGCTTATTATAGTAACTTAATTATTATCATTAATAATTATTCCAAATTAATTAACCTGAAATTCCTTTGTTATCCTCAAATAACTAAATTCTCAGTTAGTATCTTTCCAAATAACATGCACTGATGCTTAGAACAGCTTACATGAGTATGAAAACTTAATGAGAAGAAGGATTTACTCATAGTATTATCAGTAGGATTTCTAGTTGCTTCTCTGCCCTTTTCTGCTGTTTCTATAACCGGTGAAGATTGAAGAAAATCTTAGAACTGCAAAGCAACATTCCTCTACAAGTTAAATAGTTATTTTACTTCCTAAAGGATTGTAGTAATTCAGTTTGGCAGACAAGGATCAGCGACTACAAGCTGAGATTTAATCAGCCAGCTTACCAAACAGAGACCAGGGTGAAACTTTGATCTCTCTGAAGGAAATAAAACTACTGAAAAAAAAATCCCCCAATAATTTCAAGAATGCAGGATTTCAAGATCATGGCCCATCCATCTCTGCTGCCTCCTTCTGGCTTCTTGATCTGACCCCTATTTTTCTTTGCACAGTTTGTCTCTTTAATATTCTTCCTCTCTTGCAGGTTTTACAAATTTAAATCTTTGGTTTGTGATTGCTGAAATGCGCACATGCTAGTATCTAGCAGTGTCAATGCATCCAAAATTGTACTGTTTAAACATGTCACCTTTCACAATGTTAATTTATGCTCCAACAATAGGATAAGGAAATAAAGATTACAGTACTACAGTCTTTTCTGAAATTTTGCTAAAGACCACGGACCACTGTATTTGTTTTAAGGTTCCTCTGGGAAGGTAGTATTTAATAAAAAAGGAACTTAAACAACTTCAAATATGTACCAAATGTAACTAATGCAGATGCGTGTTCTGTCATCAGAATAGTGACAGGCAAGCAACCTACTGAAAACAAGAACTTGTTTTTATCTAACCAGTGGATTCCCCCCCCCGCCCCCCGGAGGACACAAGACTTGGGATTCTCAGAGAGTGCACAGGAATGTTAAAACTCAAATGACAGAGAAACAAGCTTAAGATCCATGCAACCAAGATACTATGACATAACCATGTATTTAATACGTCCATTACATACTGTAACTGGTATCATATTGTGGCAACTTACAACATCTTATTTTCTTCCAGCTAAACCACTTGCTTCTCTAACAGCTTGTCATTAACCATGGACTATCACTTTCTCCAGCAGGTCACCACAGTACAAAAAAAAAAAGAAAAAAAAAAAAGAGGGAGAGAGAGAGAACCTTGGGGGGGGGTGTTGAATGAAAAATGCTTCCAAAAAACTCATGATACCAAATAAATGCCAGCTCACTTTCACAAGTTAGTAGGCAACTATAACTTGCCCAATGGTATTACTATGCAGCTGCAACTACAACTACCACACAGTCCTGGGCTATGCACATTGCTTGTTACTGAGGGTGGGCTTTCACACTGTTGCTGGAGGTGTTCTAAACACATGCCGATGCCAAAAGAGAGAAGTCCTGCTCTTCTTTCTTCTCTTTTCTGGTACGTCACTAAGTGGGTTCATTAATTATCCTACATTAATGACTTGAATTTTTTTTTTTTTCTGGAAGAAACACCAGAACTGCTGAAGGACAGAAGGTGAGGGAACAGAGGAAGAAAAAAAAAAAACCCAACCAAACAAAAAAACCCCAGCAATAGAAATTTTTTTAAAAAGTGAGGAAGGATGAGTAAGATCTTCCTCTTCTGATGATAGTGAGCTTTTAAATACGCTCAACCCTAACAGTGTGAGTGAAGAGAAGCTTATGTCAATTTAATTAATCTGCTGCAGTCCTGCCTTCTTCCTCGTATGTGGTTATACTTTGCCATCCCATCCCTTCCTTTGTGCTAGCACTGGTTGCTCTGTGTAACCTTGTCAAAAAAAAAACCAACAAAAAAAAAACCCCAAACCAAAAAAAAAAAAACCAAACCACGTTTACTAGTTTATGAAGCTATGGAACTGCACTGTAAATATCCTACAGCTACCTGCACGTATGAGATCTGAACCACCACACCATAACTTTCTGCAAGTTTAAACTGATCTCATTCCCTAAAAGATGCTGCTTTATAATTCTTCAAATAATTCTTCAGCTAGCTTTTATGTCTAAAGCAGCTAAGACCTAGGAAAATTCATAAATGTTTTAGAAAATGTCAGAAATGCCACAAGCCGTTTCTCATCTGATTTTGTTTTGTGATAAAAGTGTTTTTCTGTGGATAAGAAAGTAAGATCTGCAAATCCATGTGTATCTTACTCAAAATCTAAATTTAGAGATAGTGAATAACCTGACTATATTATATCTGACTGCTACATAAAAACAAATCCAGGTAAGGATATATATATTTTAGCAAAGCCCATGTACATTTCTGATAGACCTGTCCACTTACTTCTCTTTCATTTTTCATTGAGTGGACTTCTTAAAGAGCAGAAGACAACAGGCTTATACATGAATCCTGAGCCAAATATAAAAAGGAGGACAAGTCAAAGAAGTACACGTGATGAAGACATTTATGTGAAGTTCTAAGGGATAACAGGAAAGCTAATATAGCTGGTTCTTTGGCAGAGAAAGTTTAAAAAAAAATTTAGAAAGAGAGACTGCTAGTTTTAGGCAGATATAAAAAAACAAAAACAAAAACAAAAAACATGGCTGAAAAGAAATTCAATTAAAAAAAAAAACCAACAAAAAACCCCCAAACAAGAAGCATGGCAGCATGTTCCCATTCAAGTTAAGAGTATATAAAGCAAAGAACTCAGAGAATAGTGGCTGAGACAAAAAAATCAAATGTCTTTAAGAACATTATCACTTAAGATATTTGGTAGTAATTCTGGACTGTACAAGCCAGGAAGAGAGTAAGATTAATGAATGATGGGGTGCCTATGTATGTGGAAATGGTAAGCAGTGAATGTATCATTGCACAACAATTATGGACACTATTCTTCAGTCACACTCATCATCAACTCTTGTAACTGCAGAGCTAGGAAAAGAAAAGGAAAACAGATCTGTGCCAATACGAGAGCGAATATTACAGTTTAATATGGTTCTAAAAAGTTTAACTTTTAATAACCTACAGTGTAGCTAATATTACAAGTAAAAAAAATCATTATTTTTAATAGTTGTATCCTGAATAACAAAAGACTCTATCACTCTTTGAAAACCACTTAATATTTCTTCCTTAAATTATCTTACTGAAATAATAATTGAACAATTAAGACAAAAGAAAAGCAACAGGGTATCTTGCTGCAGTGTAAACAGGTGGTAATGGCATAATTAATTTCCACATGTAAATAATGATCCGCATAAATCATTTGAAGCTTCACTATAAATTATCTTTGACAGAAGTGAACCATTAATATACTGCTATCCAATAGTTTTCCAACTCTAAATACTGGCTGAAATAATTAATGCATATTAACACACAATGAGGCAAGTTTATTTTTCCATATATCCTTTTCTACAGACACATATACCATACCAGCAAATGCCTAACATCTGCAAAAACAGCGCAGATATTTGTAAAGAGTGAAGCACCACAGATTTTCCTCAAATACAAATATACTTTTGGGGTGAGTCTACCCATTCAAAGTGTCATTGTGAAATGGAGGAATTACTCCACTACTCCAATGTAGTTACTAATTTTACCAGCATAAATTATGATAGCTTCATTTTCGATCTAGTGAAGCAAAATATCCAGTTGCCAGTGTCTGTGAGCACAAAAAGTTCTCTAAGATGCAGCCTTCAAGCCTTGGTGCTGGGAAACACATCTTCCAGACTGCAGAGTTAGCACTGCCCTTCTTTTTCTTACAGCTAATTAGTAACCTCCTCTCTTTCCCCCCTAAACTGAACAACCAAAAAGGTTCCAGTGATGCATGCTTACCACTGTCCTTCAACAGAATTTAGAGAGGGAAGAAAAAAACCCTATTTCTTGGGTTTTCTTCATAGAAAACTCAGTGAGAATAAGTCCTTTTCAGTGACCACCTGTCATGTGTTACTTTAAGCTTTGTCTCTGGTTTCCATTGTACTAGATGCAGTCACAGGCTACAGGAGGTCTAGGGCTCTGGAAATGAAGCTTCCTGTTCCCTGACCTCAGTAGTACATAAACTTTTCAGCAAGCAACAGCGACACTAATTCCAAAACATTCAGTGAGTAATGTCAGCTTGCACTCAGAAAGGCAACTTCCATTAGTTGAGAGACATCCCTGGGAAACAAAGGTTCTCTTATTGCATCTGTCTTTCAATCCCATCTGAAGGGAGGGTCAGAAGAGAAACATGTTCAGAGACAGCAATATCATATCTGAGTGCACACCTGTAATTTTTTTTCCCTCCCCCCTCAGCCATCTCCAATATCTGTTCTATAGACATATTAAAAAAAAAAAATAAAAATCAACTCCGGTTATGTTTTTACAGCTGACATCACGATTATGTGATTGTCACAGGACCAATTTTCAAAGGAGAAAGAAAAGGTATGCTTCTCTTCAGGTGTCCATGTCATCTGGGTAATAAGAGAGGAGGTAAGAGATCAGGACAGACAGAATAAAACCTACAGTTACAGCCTTTTCAGCCAACGCAACTACGTTCTTTAACAGTACTAAGAATCTAGTAGTCTCAATTATTCATGTAATATAAACGCCCCAAAAAGAGGACAGGAATGATACCGCATAGGTTACATAATGAAACACCACAGCACGAAACCTGAACACAGACAGCTTCAGGGAATCGCAGAAACATTGTGCTGGCCCTTCACCCTTGCTGACAGATACAACAAAGCAGTCATGCATTCCCACTCATAGGATGTACAGGTGTTTGCGTGGTTGCAGAACTCTTGCCACTCAGAAGACAACTGTCCCATCTCCTTGCACTGAAGCAGAATTAAAATTTAACAAGTATTTGTCTGAACTGTTTTTAAAACCTCCGGGCAAGTTGTGTAAGTAACACACAACATAAATTCTGAATATCCACAATGTCAAAGAAGTTGTTCTTAAAACCTCCAATGATGATTTCATGACTTCCAGATGTAGCCTACTAGAATTTTTTTTAATTAAGTTGTAACAAACCTTTATTGCCAAGTAAGCCAACTATTCCTTTTTCTGCACAGGGACATAGAAAACAATCAGTCTGCCCTCCTTATAACTGCTTTCAACATACGAAGAGACTTGCATGACCTCTGTCTTTCCAGCATCAGCCAGTTCCAATCATTTCAATCTATACTTGCGTATTGCATTTCAAAGTCACAATCTGTAGCTGCGCTTTAGAATCCCTCAAATGTATCTATTTTCCTTAGACTGCAATGTCCATGCTAGAAGTACTCCACCCAAGGACTCAACACCTTCAGCTGACAAATATCATCTTCTGTCTTGTATAAATGTAAGTCACAGATCTTCCTTGTAATCACATTTTTAACCTCTTTTCTGAAAGAGCACTCCTATCACTGCCATACTGTAGTGCTGAAGAATACAGTTCAGATATTCCCCATCTTCTACTCATGCTCTTGAATTCTTTTTTTCCAAGCACTGAAAATAGCAATTTATGAATTTCATTTTTGATCTACTTATTCTGATACTTTCTTTCAAAATAATTTAGACTTCCTGAAAGCTGCAGTCTGACAAAACAGATATTCACAGTTTGGTGGAAGAATCTTTTTTGTTTGTTTTGTTTTGTTTTTTTTTTTTAATGACAACTGAAAAAGGAAAACAAAACATTGAAAGTGTTCTTTTTTTTTTTCAAACAGCAAACAAAATATTTTGTTTTGACTATGAAACTAAATGTTCTGTTCATTTTTCAGTTATATAGTCTTTTACTTCAGTTACTGTTAATATAAAAAATGCCATTTCAAATTAAAATATTTCAATACTTCATCAAACATTTGCAAACGTTTGAAACTGCATTTCAGCAAACTCACTGTTTATCAGAAAGTTTTATCCAGGCTTTCCTAGCTGGCTGTCATCCACAAAAATGACAACTACAATCTCTATTCCATTATTCCACTGGTTAATGATGAGCACCAGAATTGCTCTGAACAAGAGAACAGAAAGATTCTGTGGCATATAATAAAATATGCTTTTCCAATCTAAGAGCAATACTACCTGCTTCCTTGAATACATATTTGAAACAACTGGGGATCCACTTTATACCAATTTGATTGTCTTACAAAAATTGCCTTAGGAAGCCTGGAATGGTATTACTAAAATTAAGATACAGAAAACTCCCTTCTTTTATAACTACATGGCCTTTCCTCTTGTCAGAGAAGGGAATCACCTTTCCCCCCCCCGCCTAGACATTTTTAAACAGACTATTTTGTATGCTACAGTTAATGTAGAATTTCTATCACTTTTGAAAATCTGTATCTGCTAAGGAAATTCACAAATAATTTCTAGTAAGTACATCTCAAGGATACAGTAAACATGAACAAATAGAAACAATGATTTATTTACTATAAACCATTCATCAGATTCTTTTGCATTGTCTACGCAAATTAAAACCTTAAAACAGTGTCTCTGTATGAATTAAACTGCTTTGCCTAGATAGTTCTTCAAAGAATTCTTTAGTCTGCCCACATTCCAAATTGATGTTCAATGTGGAAACCAACTATCCTAAATGCTGTCTATTTCACACTCCACCAAGCTTTGTAAACAGAGGGATCTGAATCAGGGAAATAGTGTACAAAAAATTTGTAGCTTAACCATACTGTCTTGCTTCAGTTACTAGAGAGATGATATAAATGTATCTCATGAGTCACCCACCTGAGATGAGCCAAAAGGTTAATCTTGAAGTTTGCATAAGAATTAGATTACTAAACAGAGCTTTGCAGATTGACAGTTGCACAAAGCCAGACAAGCAAAACCAAACCAACTTATTTAGCTACAAATGCAGCCAACAATAAAAAAATCCTTAAATACTTAGGAGATTATAATCTGGGGGATGGGGGACAGGGAGGAAGGGAAAAAAAAATTTAAAAAAATCAACAGAGATGCTTGTTTGACATCTGCACTGCTTGCATGCTTTGTATGTACCTTGTCTGAACTCAGCTTTCCTAGGAATTTCTGCAAGATAGCACTTTGGCAAAGGGAACGATGAAAACATTGGCCAAGGATATGGATCACTGCCCTAGAAACAGGACCAGAAAAAAATTAGTTTAGGAGAAGAATTAATAGCACTTGCTTGATTAACACACAGGTAAAGTTCCCAGAATTATTGCCTATGCACCAAAATTATGCTTGATAGTACAATTTGCAATGAGATATTCCATAACTAAAAAAAAAACAGTTGAAGGATACAAAATCCAAAAAGCATTTGAGCCAGATTTTTTTCCAGTATATGCCACTGACAGTTTTGATTTTACAGTTATTTTTTCAACCAAAAAGGAAACTGCAGTTTTTATAAAAACAAACAAACCCCCCTCCAAATTCTATTTCCAATTTTATACATTGATCTAGCTGTCTTTGCTGTGCTGACAGTAATTTGCATTTCATCTTTATGAGACTGACAGCTAGTGAGAAGCAGAACATTTAAAGGAGCTGCTTAACAAACACTGTATTGTTAGAAGATCGATGAAAGTTCCAGGTATTAGATACTGCAGATGAAAGCCCAAGCATGGAAAAAAATACCAAATAAAAGGAAGATACAACAAATGGAAAGCTAATAAAAAACCCACAGAAATATAAAAGTAAAAAAAGAAGACAAATTGCATTCACTTCTGTAGTAGGAAAAGTAACATTAAAATGGAGCGATATAAACATTTCATCTGAATATGGTATGTCCTAGACACATGCCAATCCCCAGATAGTGGGAACAATGTATTTTTTCAGTGTACCACTTCTTAAAAATTGGAGTCCTTCATAAAGCTAAAGGTGGACTGGTATTTCTTAATGTTAAATAATTTTCCACATGCTGAATTATCAGCAAAAATGTTCAATTAACAAAGGCAGAAGTTATGGAAAGAGAAACTGTTGAACTCTAGATTCTAACCTTATTTAGTACTCTCAAAGGCAAAATTCTTTCCTGTGGTCCTCCAATCAGATTTATCCGTACAAGAACATGGTTTCTCTCCACTGATAGACCATCAATTATAAAATCTCTGGGGGAAAAAAAAAAAACCAAACAAAACCCAAAAACCTCCAAAAATCAGAACCACTTTGATTTACCAACTGTTTAATTCAGAAAACTTTAATGAGCACGAATACCTTGAGAGACATACTGGAGTTAAAACACAACCTGGAAAACACATAGGCATAAAGAAATAAACAGAAACATGAAGTATTTTGAGATGTCTCCAAGCATTATCCTAACTTTGTACTTCCCTACCTACTGCTGACTGGAAACATCTGAGCAATTACTGGACACAAAGGAGTAGAAAACTTCGCAAGCTTTGTTATGCCCACATGCTCAGTAATTAGGGCAGGGACAGTTAATGGACCATCACAATTTGCTCCTTATTTGGCCTACCACCAAATTTCTGCTGTCTCAAATAGAGTTATTCATAACTTAGCACACAGTCAACTTGCTGTCTGAATTCACTGTGTAGCCCAAGGTACAAAATTTCTTAAAAGGAACAAGAATCTGATTTTATATACCAAGTTTCTTACAACTTTTTCCTTAGTAAGGAAATAGTAGGTTTCATCCTTAAAAGGTAAACAACAATCATCTGTATCTGCTGAGATTTCACCCATACTGTTTGATTTAAACTCTGTACTGGTGCCATACAGCAAACAGTAAGAGGAAAGTTCTTAAAATTCAGCATGCTGAAAGAAAGGACAAAATGTCTGTGACTAAATGACTGTCCGCTTCTGTCCCAAAAATACACTTTTCTTTTTGAAAGGATGCATTGTGCAATTTTATTTAGAAGTCAGCAATGGAAAGTCACAGAAGTTGGAGTGTTGACTAAATTATAAATTAATTAAAAAAACCAAAACCGAAGTACTGATGATGCCTTTACTGCATGAACGTTAAAATAATACTCTAATTATATATTATATAGGTAAAAGAATAATATAAAATAAAAATTAAAAGGCATATTTACATCCACAAATTTTGCACTTTTTTTTTTAAGAAACAACTTGAGATTAATAGAAATAAAAATGAGAAAAATATTTCCTTTTTTATTTCTTACACTTTTGAGGTGGGTGTGGGGAAAAAGAACAAGTGTTGTCTCTTTACATAATTTAAGATTGATGACAAACCTGCATGTAAGTAAACTTATGCACATTAGAAGCCAACTTCAGTGAGAGTATTTGTATGTTTAAAGCCACTAAGGTATGCATGTGTTTGTTCTCAGGAGAAAAGTTTGATAGTTAAAATAACATTTACATCAGTCACTTCTTACCCTCGTCCTTCCGAAGTTTCTGTGACATTTTCCTCCTGAGCAGTTAGTAAAACTTGTGACACTTTATACTGAGTCTCCAAGAGTAAAAGGGTGTTGAGCTCACAGCATAGCACGTTTAACAACCTGCAGAAGGACACATTGACATGATAGTACATCAGTCAGGAATCCAGTAATGCAGAGTAAGACAAAGGCAAACATGTTTATGAGATCTCAAAATGGAAAAACAAAAACAAAAACCAAACAAAAACCAAAAAAATTAAAGTGTCTGAAAAATACCCAGACAGAACTGGGTCAGGAACACTCCTTTATATCCTTTTTAGCCACTCATGTGGCACAGCCTTGAGCAAACAGGGAATAGTTCCCAACAGATTTTTCATGTGCACTGAACAGGCAGAGAAAATATTCACTGGCCAATGCAGTCTGCTTTTGAGTTCATATCACGGAATAACAAAAGTGACACTGACTTAATACGACAATGTGAAGAAATTATACAATAATAGGCTGGTAAAGCAACTCAGAATCAGGTTGTCCAAAGCAAGGGGAAAGGGAGGGAGACAAAAATGCATCTTTCCTTTAGAAAACAGGCTTTTAGAGCACTTCCGTATAATCAAATTTAACACAGTTCAAAAGCAATAAAAGATTTAACATGTAACAAAAACATGCTGTATTTTTTTATTTGAGAGAAACACAAAACAATGGTAAATGAAATTAATAATCACAAGAGTGTATTACAGCACATTACATACAATTTTCTTTTATAACTTCAGGGCAAATTAACAGTAAAAGTACTCCAATATATTTCATGTAAATGTGATGTAGGGCAATCCAAATCTTTTCTTTTTTATTATTTTAAATAATCTATTCACTCTAACACAGCAACAGAGTAATGTCATTGAAGGCTTCCTGTTCATGGAAAATAATATGACTAAACATTCTTGTTGCTATTTTTATTTTCTATCACAGTCATAAAACACAATATAAATTAAGTCTGATCACCATTATATTTTGCATTCACGTAAGACTTGATATGAACTAGAGAATACATATTGTTTGAAGTTTGTAGTCTATTAGTCAATGTTTATTTTTTTCCATGTAATTCCCAATACACTTCTACTGACAACAGCAAAAATTTGCAAGCCATTCTCTGGATAATACAACACCAATTCACAGAATTGTGGCCAAGGATTAAATAGTCAAGGTGATAATATGTCTTTTTTTTTTTCTGTTGCTTTTTTAATGTAACTTGATCTGTTCAGTTTCAGTCCTTTTCAAGTTTTATTTATTTTGCATTAACTGTTTCCTGACATTGATTTGTTCTCAGTACTTTTCTTAATCACAGAAGAAGAAATGACAGTTCAACTATAATTTTTTTTATGATTATATAGAAGAAAAATCCACAAAAAGAGCACTGAAACCATTATGAAGATGGACCATTTCTTCTGTTAAGTATGATGACTTTAAATGGCAAAGAACCTGTTTCCAGCAGTTAAAAACCACTTGGGAGAAGACTGATAGCTGAGAATGCTTATAATGTCTCCTCTGGTACACGAGGCAGAGCAAAAAAATAAAACAAACCACGAGCAAATAAAATTAGGTGGAAGGGATAGTGGCAGGAGAAATGACAAAATATAAAAGATCCAACATAAGCAGACTCTGCGGGGGCATTCAAGTGAAATTTTCATCTACATGGAAAAATCCATTTAAAAATACTGTCACTGAAGTACAGATATTTGGTTAAAGGTAATACTCCATTGCTTTACCTTCCAAAGTCATAAATGTATAGACTAAAGTTTGAAACTAAAAGAAAAAAAAAAAAAAGACGACATTTTCTGGTGTGTATATTTGTGAGCATGCTTGAATATGGCTGTGGAGTTTTTCCTTTTTTGTTTGTTTTTAATTGCATTGGGAACATAAGAATTGGATCAGACTGCCCAGCTCAGTATCCTAAGGAGTGCATGCTTATGAAAAGGCATAAAACTTCGACAGACGTAACACAAGAAAATCAAAGCATATATGCTTTGACCTAAGGTCTTGTACCTTGGAAGTAATAACATGCAACCGTACAGGCTGGGGACTGACCAGTTAAAGCAGCTTTTTCGGACAAGGATGTGGGAGTCCTGGTGAACAATAGGTTGAACATGAGACAGCAAAGTGCCCTTGAAGGCCAACAGCATCCTGGGTTGTGGAAAGAAGAGAGAGGTGGCCCTTGTCCTCTTATCAGTACTGGTGGGGTCATCCCCAGAGTGCTGGGTCCAGTTCTGGGCTCCCCAGTAAAAGCATGACATGGATGCACTGGAGCAGGTCCAGCAAAAGGCCATGAAGATGATGAAGGGCTTGGGCCATCTGACATAGGGAAAGAGGCTGAGAGAGCTGGGACTCCTCAGCCTGGAGAAAAGAAGGCTCAGGGGCAATCTCGTCAATGTGTATAAATACCGGCCAGGAGGGTTTGAAGACAGAGCCAGACTCTTCTCAGTGACACCCAGTGAAAGGACAAGAGGCAATGGGCATGAATTGAAACACAGGAAATTCCATTTTAACATACTGTGATGGTGGTGAAACAATGCAACAAGTTGCCCGGAGATGTTGCAGCATCGCCGGCCTTGTAGATGTTCTAAACCAGAATGGACACAGCCCTGAGTAATGCTGTCTAGTAGAACCCACTTTGAGCAGAGCAGTTGAAATACACAATCTTCAATCACCCTTTCAACCCCAACTCTATAATTCTGTGAAAACTACTACTAAGATATACCATATTCCCAGGAACAAACTGCAATACAGGTAAAATAAAAGGTTAGCTGAAGGCAGTTTTTATAGAACAGTGATTTTAAAGAAATTCAGAAAAATCAAAATACATATCATAGTTGTGAAAATATGGTAGTAATGAGTAATTTTGTTTGAATTCTGCATTTCCTGTCCTATGTCATCCCTGTCTTTCTTGGAGGGTGCTCCCTAGATTCTCCCACTTCAGCTATAATTTCACAACTAATATTTCACTGTAGAAAACTCTAGTCTGAAAGAAGGCATGCTAATAGTACTTGTGTACCTATGTAAACTGACTACCTCCTTAGTCTTGGTAGGTGGAATCATAATGACTTTTTCAATTATGGCAGAACAGAAGGTCCTTCATGGGATATAAAACAGCTAGTAAATAATTCTAGCTGCTAAAAAAACCGCTTGTTAAGTTTTATGTTGCCTCTCTAAATTTTTTCATAATATAAATATATTTGAAATATGAAATATTGAAAAAATGAAAATAACTAAACCACCTATGAATTTCTCTGAGTTGCTAAAAACACTTATTATGAGGATAGCTTATTATCATTGTTTTCAATATTTTTTTCTACAAGTTCCTTTTAAGAACACAAAATAATATGGTGTTCCCTGTACTCTCATTTTCTCAGTTGTCTTGCCCCCCCCCCCCGCCCCCCAACTTCAAATCACACCTCTCTCAAACACCACCTTTATTATGGTAAAGCCAATTCTAGTCTTCTGTAGCTCCCACTGCACTCCCATAGACTATTCTTCCTTACTTTCATAACTTAACATTCTTTCCAAAGCCAACCTCTGTCCTCACTTCAGGGATGCCTGCAAATGCTTGCATCAGTGACAGATGCAAGGTACTGTTCTTCGATACAGCAGTTGTAGTAGTCTGTGGTGGGTTGACACCAGCCAGCAACTAAGCACCCACCCAGTTGCTCGCTCACTCCCCACAAGCAGACCAGTGCCCAGCCAGTCTCTGAGCAATGGTACCTGCA